AGAACTTTACGCCATATTTTACAGCTGGTGAACGTGAAGAAGTAGACCTTGGCCATTCATTTCCCTTTTCCTTGTCTACCCAATAACCGCTCTATTTAATTTTTTAATATCGAAGTTATTGACTTGTTCAAGTGTGTTTACATTCATTGTTAAACTATTTTTCTACAGTCTCAAGAACGATCATAAGATTATTTCTTTGTTGTCATTTTCTTCTTGAACCAGAAGAGAGGTTGGAATACAGTCAAGCCACACTTATCGTCACCCTCAGTAATGGAGCTCAGGGTGTATTCAAGGGAAAGAGGTGAGTCTCCAGCTTCATTTGTGTGATAATTTACAGGACACTTTGTATACTTTGAAGAACATTGCGACAACCGGAAAGATCAAAGGCAGGGTAAAAGACGCAGAGTAGAAGAGCTAGACCGAAATATGACCATTTGCATAAGACATGACAAAACAGGAGTATCGATTCAGCTGTAGACAGTTTGGATGTATTTGGCTTTTTCATGGTTTGACAGATCAACATGAGCTCTTGAACCTGTCCGTCTCTCTATTTCCAGGTTTGCGCCGATCCCACCTCAAGTATATGACAAGACCCAGTCACCTCCTTGAGTCAATGACAAGACCCCTCGCCTTAGTGAGTCTACGACAAGACCCCTATGTCCCCCTTAAGTGCATGACAAGACCCAGGCGTCCCTTTGCTGATATAGCAAGACACCCCCGTCCCTCATGAGTTATTGGCAAGACCTCCACACGGTCCCCTACATAACAAAATGTGATTAAAAAAGGAGAGAACGTATGAAATGGTCAGAATGTGTTCCTAATCTATAATTCATCAATGAGACTTTTTAAGGTGGGTGTAAAAACCACTCATGAAAATTAAAACGATCTCTTCCGTTTGTTTCATAAATAGTTATAAAGAATAGTTAATTTATAAATGAAAGAAAATCTAAGTATCACAAGTTATAACAAGTACACTTACTGTAAAAATTGCTTGACGTCCCCACCCCCTTAAAACCCCCTTTTGTGACCCCCCCCCCTCCTCCTCCAGGCCGGAGACCACAGTTCTAGCCAAGTGTGTGACAGGATGCTATATGGAGGCATGGGAATCACATCCCATGGTGATGGTGAGTTTGACCAGCAAGAGATGCCCGCGTTACATGTCTTCCACAATCAGAGCATGGGATTTCAGGACCGTTGTTGCCATTACACGTAATAAATGTGCTTTCTCTCAATAAGCAACGTTAAACTGCTAATCTTCGCCGTATGGGTTCCGGGGTCCCATTATGGGAACACAAGAACAGACCCACGGCGACTCCAACAAGCATGTCGTATAAGCCGACAAATGGGGGCTTCTATTGAAGTCGGAGTGCATTTGCCAGAACGGCAAGGAACAACCAACTGCACACAAATGAAATAGTAACCCCCCCCCCTTCCCCTTTCCACCCCCTCCCGCTTTTGCCAGTAATGCAACCTTTGCTGCTCAGAGGTGAGAAAACCTGAAATAGTTACTGGAGCGTTGTTTATTAGAGACAAAGCGCTAGAATAACATCCATTTTACTTTTCCGTTGGGTTTCCACTCTAACCGCAACATAAAGGAGCGAGCCGCCAAGAAATTGAAATAGACCGGCAGCAGTCCGCGTACCACAGGTCGAAAAACGTGGCTTTACATGGTTGTCACAAGACTGAGGTAAAAATGCATCAGAACGTAATTAGAAACAGTTCACTTTTCATGTCAATGAATGTCAGGCGGGAGGGAGGAGTTAATGCATATGATTTACAGGACGCTGCAAAAACAACCCCAGCATTTCGGGAGGGGAGAGGAGGGGGGTGAGGCTGTGATTTCATTATATACGTTCAGTAGTTTGCCATTGCTTCTGTGCTGCCGCCCCTCAACACTACTGTTGAAACCAACGCAAGGTTAAATCGCCTGCTGCTGGGAACATACAAGATATCCTGGATGTACGAAGCAAGTTCACAACGACTGAATCACAGACGCCTACCGGAAATATGTACCGGTTGAAATGTTATAAAACGACAGATGGTGGTTATTGACGTGTATATTACCTATCCCCTATACAGATATAGACCACAGGCTAAGAAACAAATACAAGTAAAGTAAATAGAGGACCTTTTTCCACGTCTTTAGACTATTGGGCATATAGGGCTAGACCTATTTTTATAGACCAACCGGCACTCAGTGGGTGATGTGTTAAGCATTACGCCGACCGCCTTTACTTCCTAAAACTGTACCTGGTACCCATTTAAGACTAAGTCGACCTGGAAGCCAAAGTTATTTTTTTGAAATGTCCGTCTCCGACAGGACGTCAACCCACGAAAACCCGATCCGCAGGCCAGCGTATAGCCACTACACCACGACGGCCCAAATAAAATACATGCCAGTAGACAGAAAAAAGAAGCCGGGGTGTTACTAAAGGTACAGAACGTATGGATATTTTGCCATTTTTATAGGAGAGATTATATAAATATATAACAAGGTTGA